AGCAACGGCAATTCTAAGCAGCAAACGCAAGGCTGGAGGCATCACAATCCCTGACTTGAAATTATACTACAAATCTACTGTAATAAAATCAACATGGTAGTGAAATAAAAACAGAGCCACAGATCAATGGACCAGATTAGAAGATATAACCACAGCTACCAACACACTCAACCACCTTTCTTTGATAAATGGGCTAAACATGTTCACTGGAAGAATGAAAGTCTCCTTAATAAATGGTGTTGGAAAAGCTGGCTCTCTATATGCTGAAAACTAAAACTGGACCCATGCCTATCACCATGTACTAAATTGAAATCTAAATGGATCAAATATCTGAATTATAAAACAGAAACATTAAATTTATTGGAAGACAAATTGGGTAAAAATATTGAAGATATATGAGCAGGTAGAGAATTCATGAACAGGACTCAAACCGCACGGGAAATACTTGCCTGAATCAATAACTGGGATCATGTCTTATTAAAATGTTTCTGCATGTCACAAGAAATCTCCAGCATAGTGAAAAGCAAACCCACAAACTGGGAAAAAAATCTTAGGGAACTGTCCCTCAGGCAATGGACTGCTGTGTAAAACACATCAAGATTAAAAAAAAAATTCAGACCACCGAAATTCAAAGACCCAGTCCAAAAATGGGCATCTGTGATAAATACACCCTTCTCAGGTAAGGTAATACAGATGGCAAATAAATACATGAAAAAATGTTCATGATCATTGGTCATTAGAGAAATGCAAATTAAAACCACACTGAGATTCCATCTCACTCCTGAAAGAATGGCCAGGATCAAGAAAACTATCAAGAACAAATGCTGGAGAGGCTGTGGGGAAAAAGGAATGCCCCTGCACTGCTGGTGGGAGTATAGACTGGTGCAACCACTGAGAAGGTCAGTCTGGATGTTTCTCAAATACCTGGGATTGGAAGGCCCATTAGATAAGCTATTCCACATCCATATTCTCAGAAGAACTGAAAACATCATACCACAATGATATATGTCCACACATTATTATAGCAATACACTTTGTCATAGTCAGATCTTGGAAACAATCTAAGGGTCCAGAAACTGAGGAATGGATAAAAAAGTTGTGGTAATTTTATACAATGGAGTACTACTCAGCTATAAAGTGGGATCACATAGAGATATTTATAAATAAATAGACACATCTTGAGACCATACTCGTAAGTGAAATAAATCAAATTCACATGTATAAATACAGAATTGTTTCCCTAGTGTAAGAAATGATAAGAATACCTAAAATTATGTGGTAGTCATGATTTTGAATCATATTGGTATGAAGCCATGTGATGCTTTCACTCATTAATTGGAATGATTTTAATCTGCTTTGTTCTATTTTATTTTCTGTGATAGTATGAGTAGCTATTTTGAAGAAAACAAGACATCATAATAGCTAGTGCAGAATTAATATCATCTTGTTTTGAAGTCCCATCAAGCTGTTGTTCGTCTGTTTTCATTGGTTTTAACATGTTGTATCTTACTATATTTTACTATATAAAATAGTATAAACAAAAATTTTGATTGCAAAGAGATAATATAGAAAGTGCTGTTTGTTTTCAGTTAGCTGGTTCTAAATACCCTGTAATTCTTTCATTGTCTTGAATGGCTTCACAGTGTCTTGATACGTTTTCTGCTATGGTATATGAAGTTATACTCAAATAATTTCAGGAAAGAAACACTATGGTGACTACTCTTATGTCATGTTATCTGGTGGTGAAACACAATGATGCTTAAATTGTTCAGTTCTGACCTGTGTTTTTCTGTTACTATGTTTTATTTAATCCTAATCTCCTCCTTTTTTTCCTTTAAAAAATTCACTTATTTTTTCTTGTTTTTTAATCAAGGGAAAACTAAATTAAAAAGTAGCAAGATATATTATACTAACATTTTGTTTTCTATTAACCTGATTTGAACACCAGTATTGCACTCCCCATCTTGTTCTGACTGATTTTACTACATTGTTTGGTTTGATAGTATCGTTTGAGGGTACAGGCAACCACTTTGAGGGTAATAAGATTTGCCGTGATGCCCATTATGGTTTGACAATTATATTCTTTTGAAGTTCTGTAAGGTCTCCAATGTAGGTTTTGTTGGTCTTGTTCTGTACTGTTTTGTTCAATTCTATTATACCTGATAATATAGGCAACTCTTTTTAAGATAGCACGAGGCATAATGGTAATCATCTTTGATCACCTGGTATTCGGCTTTGCATCATGTATTATGTCCATCCTTCTGTTCTAACCGACTCTGTTTTGCTTTGTCACATTTGTTTTTTTTTTTTTTTCTCTTCCAGGAAAAAAAAGTTACAAGAACTGTGGGAGTGATAAAAACCCAAAAAGTGTAATTGTTATTGTAAAAAAGAGAGGAAAACAAATTGGTCTAAAGGATAGGACTGCATGAATATTTATGTGTGTAGGATAGAAAACCATATTACTGAGTTTTTGTTGGAGCATTGAACAGAACTGTTTGCAATTTCACTGTATGAATGTCCACTCTGTATGCTTTAATTTTGTAATATGGACAACTGTTCCAAAGGGACAATATGTAATGTATTAAATAGTGATTTCTTACTGCATGTTTCTTCTTGAAATTCTGTATTACTTGTACCTTTTTACCACTTTGTTTTTTTTCTTTAAATAAAAAAACTTCAGATCCCAAGCTCACACACAAAAACACAAAAAATAAATAAGCTTTAACAGTGAAGGGTGACCGAGGTTTTGTGAAGCTTTGGCTAGCCATCAAGAGGTAGCTGCCTCTTGGGATTTCTGTCATGGGATTGCTGCCTAAAACTGGTAGGTCTCAGCCTGAGTGTGCAAAAAGTAAAGTGCCATAACTCTGCAGAACAATGCAAAATACCACCATCTCTGAAATGGCGTCAATTAAGGCTTGCTGTTACAAACACCAGAATTCACTCATTAGTTTAATCAGAAAATACTGAAAATATACGGCTGAGGGTGTGGCTCAGTGTGGAGGAAGAACTTAGAAAGTACTTAATGAAAAGGCCAGAGAGAGGAAAACTAAGTGTCACTGCGGAGCTTTAGGGTGCAGGGTCACAGGGGTTTTAGGACTCCTGCAGGAAGCAGACAGTTGGATGTAGTGATGAGAGATTCTGTGGTCAACTAGGGTGATGAAAGTAGAAGCAACCTATGGGTCCAGTGAATAGTTAGAAGGGAAAGGGAAATATGAAAATCGTCATAGGTTGTTTTCTGGACACTATTAATTTTGTTACTTATGCCATTGTAGGATGATAACATTACAAAATGATCAGGGTAAGCCGGGCGTGTGGGTTAAGCCTATAATCCCAGCACTCTTTGGGAGGCTGAGGCAGGAGGATCCTTGAGAGTTCGAGACCAGCCTAGGCTACAAAGTGAGCTCAAGGCCAGCCTGAACTTCACTGCGAGACTCTGTCTCAAAAAGACAAAAATAAAATTATCAGGGTATCCTCATCTTCAGAGGTATTGTGCAAATGAAAGGTATGAGTGGCCCCTGGCCTCCACCATTTGCCTAGACCTCTTCTAGGAGTCTCAGATGAATCCAGGTCCCTGGTTCTCAAATAACTACAAAAGGCTGGGACTATAGATGAGTGTGAAGGCCAGGATTTAATCTACAGTATTGGAAAAAGTATACTTTTCTCACTGTGTGTATAATAAAGGATACAACACAGGAAGAATCCAAATAGCCAGATGCATGGGATGGTCCCAAATGACCAGATCCATGCTATCTCTGGGGTGTAGCTCTCTCCTAAGGATATCAGTATGTTCACCAACACACAGAAGTGTTCCAAACTCTCTATTTGGTGGTTTAATCAAAGCTTCATTACCTAAGCTTTTGAGTTTGTTATGTTTTGCATTTTTTCAAGACAGGGTCTCACTATGTAGTTCATACTGGCCTTGAACTCACTATGTGCACCTTTCCTTGATTGGCCTCAGGGAGCAGAGGGCTGAGCCTGCTCCTTGAAATCCCTGGACCCCTGGATTTTGCTCCCGATTTCCAGCAACAATACCACAGTGGGATAGAGAGGGGCTGGAGGCCATGGAAGGGCAAGGAGCAGGAATAAAAGAGTTCCAGAGTTGGGGTCTGAGGAATGACATAGCTGCTGCTGAATGTGTGGTATACTAAAATTATAATAAAATCATGAAATATTCCTGGAGGTAATACTCCTTAACTCCCTAGGAAAGCTCAAGAGACAGAAAGAGGTTTGCTTCAACCCAAAGCCTCACCTATTGAGCACAGAGGAGAGGAGAAGCAGATGACCTAGCCCAGTAAGTTCCTGATACAAGGTGCCCATGTGACTGTGAGGAGAAAGAGCCACATACAGGTAGAGTCAGCTCATCAATTTGAATTAAATGGATGTTTCTGTGGAACCTGTTCCTGGCAGAACATATCATATCCGGGTTGAGTGGTTGAAAATTGTAAGATGAAAGAAAGGAAGGAGCCGATATCCACCGAAGGGTTCTGTGATCATCCCACTTGCTCAGGCTTCCTGTTCTGGTGCCTGAGCCAAGTCTCAGCAACAGGGCTGCCCAAACAGTAACACTGTGAGCTTCCTGGATCTCTTTAAATATGGATTCTGACTTGGTCAATCTGGGGTGAGCTGCCTCCGTTACCACCAGTGCTTACATAGCCCCAGTGTCCTGTCCAATGAAACTGGCTGTGGAAGAGTCTAAAAGGCTTCTAGAAGAATGGCATTTTCAGGTCAGAGTGGGTAACTCAGTAAAACTCATTCGAAATACAATGAAGAAGGAAAGAATGCAACATCAACATTAAAAGTTGATAGGTTTTCTATACACAAGCTAGGTGACAAATTCCATTTACAATAGGTTTTAAAAAATTATAGTCCTAGAAATCAGTCTGGTCAAGAAGATAAAAGACATCGATGGTGAAAATTACACAGGGATGAAAGAAATTTAAGAGGACATCAGAAGACAGTAAAAGCTCCCCAGTTCATAGATTGACAGAATTAATCCTCACCTTGTGTTCCAGCACTTGCAGTTGTAGTGAGCACCGTGGGATTCTGTCCACAGACCCTCATGCACTCTTCCTTGGTCTCAAAGTTGTTCTGCTTTTCTCTGCAGCCACCATATAAAAAGGCTTCACAGCGTCCGGAGTGGGCATTGTAGTAGTATCTGATCAACAGAATCCTGCAGGGACCCATGAAGGAACGCTCCAGGCAGAAGGCAGGCCGCTGGACTGCAGGGACAGCAGAGAGTCTGCATTGAACTAGGGAAATGGTCATGCAGGGCCATCCACATGGCAAACAATGAAATCAAACACCGTATCTGGTGAGCAGTGGGCAGGAACTGAACGTGCAAAAACTCCATTCTATAGTTTGTTTTCTGGACATTACATTAATTTTGTGAAGAGTACCATTATATGCTGAAAATGTAAATATGGTTATACACACCACTGAAGTATTTATGCATTCATTAATTGAATGATGCCTGAGATTTGAGTTAAGAAATACAAGTTATTAAAAAAAATGTCCAGTGGTACAAGCCTGTAATCCCAGCACTCTAGAGGCCAAGACAGGAGAATTGTTGCAAGTTTGAGACCAGCCTGGGCTACACAGTGAGTTCAAGCCCATCTTGAACTGCACAGCAAGACCCTGTCTCAAACAAATAATAATGCTTGTTTATTTGTTTATATATATATATATATATATATAGTATAACTATATACATAGTGTGTGTCTTTATTTGTTTGTCTATATACGAAATTATATATATATATAATATATGGGAGAAATATATATAGGATAAATTGTCGTATAGATACAGCAATCTCCATAGATTACCAATGGTTGTGTTTGAATAATGAATACATAAATGATTAATATCCTACACCTGTTTTCTTTTGTACATCTTTGCAAGTGGCCATTATTTAAAAAAAATTCTGTAGCCAGTCATGATGTCATGGAAGAATACAAGGGAGAAAACATTTTGTCTTTATCTCAATCAGTGGAATGGCATTGATGGAACTTGTTATTGTTGGCTATGTTGAAGACAACAAAAAAAATGGCATATGGTGGTGAGTCTTAACACCTTCTTTATATATCATTATTTTGTTTTACTCCTTACAAAATGCTTGGGGTCCTTCTATATTTCAAAAATAAGGAAATATTTAATGCACAAAACATTGTAATTTTGAAAATTAATACATTGCACAAGAATGTTGCAGTATGTTGTGTATTAAACAGAAGTATGATGTCTGGTGACATCACATTTCAGTGCAGACTTAAATAAATGCTTGGATAAAGTGGCTGTCAGTCTTTTGTAGCAGCAGACTTCACTTTTCAGTGAAATCTGTTAGGTCTGTGGATGCAGAGCCCAGAGCATCATCCTGAGTGTTCTCACAACAACACTTTTTTTCCAAGCCCTGAAAAGCTAAACTTATTGCTTAAGACCTATTATGGAAATCTTGAAACTAAAAGTTCTATAATGTGTGATTGGTAGCTTTCAATGGCTACATGGCTTGAGGTAGGAAAATGAATCACTCTGAGGCATCTGTCTCAGGGCAGATTTCAAATTCTAATGCCTTGGCTATATAAACGTTGGAATTCCACTACCCATCTTTGAGAATTCTACTGAATGATTCTCAGAACTCAAGAAGGCAATCTGAGCCTGATGTAATGGTCCATGCACGTGATCCCAGCATCTAGAATGCAAAGGCAGGAGGATCACAAGTCAGAGTCCACCCTGGACAACTTGGACCTTGTTCCAAAATAAGAAAAAATGAAATACAAAATCTGATGAGATAACTTAGTACAAAGGCCTAGGTTTAATCTTCAATACTGTGAAAATCAATGAATTAAATTAATTAATTGAAAATAAATAAAGAAACTAGTGTTTATGCAACGTTACATGGGAATTGCTTGAACAGATGCATAGGTCACCCATGTCTTATTTTGGGTGTGCTTGCTCTCTACTCACCAACATGTTCACCAGTATGGAAGTACCCTAAACCCACCATTAGGGTTTTCATTGAGGTTTTATTACATAGATAGCAGTGTTCAACCATTAGAGCTTTAACTCTCTCTCAGTGGTCTATTCCCCTCCCAGAGGGTAGAGGGTAGAAAGAAACTCAAGCCCACCAATCATCTGATTCATGTGTTTGGTAATAGGTGCTGCCTCTTGGGCCAGGGCTTACAGCATCTCATAGGCACACACGTAGCAGCAAATGCCCAGAGTTCCAGGAATGCCATCCCACTGATTGAGACAAGGAGAAACTGTATATTTTTCACTATATTGTATCAGGGGCCCAGAGGTTAGACATGCTGATGAGCAATGGCCAACTGAAACCAATAAAGTTTGGTATCTCTGCCCTCATTCTCATGTGTCTTTCTGATTACCTTAAAATGTAGGATCAAATGTCTGCTCGGCGCTGCCTGAATGCATGTTGATTATCTACAATATGAGATTTATTAACCCTAAATATACCTATTCTATCACATTCGCTTCTAAGCTTAGGCACACCAAGATGAGAATAATCAAAATACATTTCAGGTTTTTCAGGGACACTCATTTGCCTGCTTTCACAAAATCCACATTGAGATCTCCTGGAACCTGATCTGGCCTGCGGGCAAGTTCTTGGAGACCCTAGAGGAGGAGTGGGGATGAAAAGGAAACAAGAGACACAAAGAGCAGAGACAAGTTGAGGAAGTCCAATCAAGTCTCTCTTTACTCAGTGAATGAGTATCAAATACATAGGGTATTGAGGAGGAGAGATTTGGATGCTGAGACATCAGCGGGTACCTTAGCAACAGTGGCAAGATAGAGGTTTATAGGTCAGTTCAAATTTCCCTCCCATGAGGGCTCATAAGCATAACCCCTGAACAATGGATCAGGCTAAACAAGGTATGCAAGGTGCTGCTTAATTACCAAATTTAACTCCTAGAGGGAATTAAGGTGGTGTGGCCTGCAGATGTAAAGGTGGCAGCCAATTAGAGGGCTTCCCACAGGTCCCCCTTTACTTTAAAATATAAGAGGCATATAAGAGGCTACATCCTTGAGGAGACTGTGCCTGTCTTGGGTCAGGGCACTTCTACAGGGGGGCCAACCTAGCTTCACCCATCATTGGAAGGCAGGGCAGCAAGAGGCCCAGTTCCTGTCTTAGGTGGAGGTTGGCATCCCGTGTGAAGCCCAGTTGCCCATCTCTGTCTATCCAGTCTATCACACCAAGGCAAGAGAAACACAGCTTGCAGCATGCTTCCACAAACCATTATCACAATACAGGTTTGCAGGCTCCGCATAATTTTCTCTATCAGCCATTCTAAATCTGTGCTAGTGGACCTGTATAGGTTGCATTTTTAAGGCATCCACCTGTTGTTTGCAAAAGCCATCAACTTATTCATCGTAATCCCAAGAGACAGGATCCAGGCTGTTGGTTCCATCCTCTGAAAAACAAAAGCTGCGAAAAAATTCTCTCAGGAGTCATTTTTCGTCCCTGGAGACATCTGTAACATTATCCTCTATTTGTTGTATTTGATCTATTTGTTTAACCAATCGTTCAGGCAGCCATCTCCCAGATTTCATCTCTTTAGAGAAATGCTTGCTGATCCTTGTCCAGAGATAAGGACTGGGTCTGCACAATGCTATGAGTTAATCACGGGGTCTCTCCATAATACAAAAGCAAATTGCTTTTGTGTTTCAGTATGCCAAAAATGCGTGGCTGCTGACTGTCCAGCAGCATCCAAATTTAAAAAATTAAGGATAAATAAGGCATGAGATACAATATTTTCAAGTGTCCCCCTTGTGGGGTACCATTCCCCTTTTTTATTTATTATCAACAGTGAGTTTTAGGGAGGATGCAGCCTCTTATATTTTAAAGTAAAGGGGGACCTGAGGGAAGCCTTGTGCTCTTTCAACTATGCCTTGACCTTGAGGGTTATAAGTTATGCCTTTTACATGATGAATATGAAGATGTTGACAGAACTAGCATAGCCTGGAGCATTATCAGTCTTTAATTTTTGCGGGCATCCCAAAATAATAAGGTAGTTAACAAATGCCTAATAACATGCTTGGTAGCTTTGGCACTCTGGAGAGACACACAAAGGAAATCACTAAAGGTACCTATAGTTACATGAGCATATTTAAGATTTCCAAACACTGGAATATGGGTGATATCCATTTGCCATAATTCATTGGGGATAAGTCCCCTAGGTTTAACCCCAAAGTGTGGAACTTGGAGCTGTGTGCACAAGACAGGCAATTTTTATTATCTGTCTGGCTTGCTCTGTGGTGATGTGGTGCATAAGAAGGAGGGTTTGACCACTGAGTTGGTGTAATTGATACTCTTTTGTGCTGAGGTAACACTGTCTTCATAGTCACCGGCGCTAACATTAGCTAAAGTACAAAAGAGAGCTTGCAGTCGAGTGGCCAGGTCTGCTGCATGATTACCATTGGCCAGTGGTCCTGGTAACCCAGAGTGAGCAGGTAGATGTCCAATAAAAAAAGGGCAAGTTCTTTTAATAATAAGCACCTGTATTTGCCTAAGAAGTTCTCCAGTGCTGGAGGCACTTTTGATTTGTCCAGCTCCTTTAGCAGGGCATAGAATGTGCAATATAAGAGGTGTCAGCATACAAATTCACTGGCTCATTGGGAAATGCTGAAAGGGTTGCAGTGACAGTATGCAACATGTGTGACTTGGGCTGATGTACTGTTTGTTTGGAGGATACAGTTTTACCAGGTCAATATCCACTAGTTAACATTTGAGCAGGGACAATGGTATTTCAACTACCCACGATTAATCCCATTTGTGCCAGTAGATCTTTCCCCCAAAGATTTATAGGTAATCCATATATGACATATGGCTGTATTTAAGGCCTTGTTGATAAACAGCTGCAATGACAATGTTACAAGGGATTGAATTCACAGCCTTTCATTTGTCAGGCTGGCACTTGTGCCACTGAGCTAAATTTCCATCCCTGTAGACTAAACTCACCTCCTTGTGCATGGCTGTCAAGTACTTGTGCCATTGACGTAAATCCCTGGCCTTTGCTTAATGCTCATCAGAGAGGAACTCATATCTCCCTTAAATTGCTTTTGAGCCTCTCTGTAGGCATAGGCATCATCCCCAATTAACATATCCAAGTCCCACCCATTGCAGGCTTGTGTGTTGAGCCTGGCAGTCTCTTTGCAATTTTCTATGTATTCCAATTTCCACAAAACATAATCCCATCCGATAAAGTTCCTTGAGTGAATCCTTGCCAATCTGTAGGTGTGAGCCAGCAGTCAGCCAAAGAATTTAAGACACCAAGAGGATAGGTGGCTGTGTCTTTCTACTGTGTAACTACTGTTTTTAATACTCTATTCAGTTTGAAATTGAAACCTGAGTAGTCTCAAATAATTCCACCATCTGCACATATCATTTCTGTCACTGGGAAAGCCTCCATTTCATATAGCTTTAAGATTGGACCAGGCCATGGGGGTAAATTTAGAAACCATGCCTCTCATTGAGAGTCACTGAGTGGAGAAATTGCAGAGGAAATTCTAGGGTTAATTTCACTATTCACTTAAAGTTTTGCTATTTTCAGCCTCTACAATTGAGCAATCAAATCCAGATGTAATTTTTTCAGTTTAATCTGTTGTTTTAAAAGTTCAACTTGGTCCCTTAATTCCTTCCTAATATCAAAAGTTAAATACGCTGAAGCCGGAGCTGTACAGCTGTTACAGTATAGGGGAGGGGCAGGCGGCTACCGGGTCACTTTGCTCCTGAGTTAAAGTTTATCCCTAATGGACATTTGCTTATTTATTTATTTATTTTTTACCCTTCACGTCTTTAAAGCCTTTCTTAAACTTTTAACCAAAATCTGATGCTGGCTCATTTCTTGTCCCAGTGGACAAAACTGCTAAATTGTTTTTCCCATTACCCTTTGTGTTTTTGAAGCTTTTCTAAACTTTCAACAAAGTCTCACACTGGCTAATTTCTTGTCCCATAATTGCTGTTCACTTACCGAGGTTCAGCTGTGTGGTAGGCTCCCACGTCGGTCCTGTATTCTGCTTTACTTGTTCTCCTCTAGGCCCAGGAACATCATCCCTCACTAAGTCCCCTGTTCTCGTGGCTGATGTGGGGGGTGCACTTGACCTGGCCTGCAGGTAAGTGGACAGAAACACTAGAGGGGGAGAGGAGAGGAATAGGAAACAAGAGACACTAAGAGTGGGGACACATTGAGGAAGTCCAATCTAGTATCTCTTTATTTAAGGAATGTGTATCAAATATATAGGGTACTGAGGAGGAGGGATTTGGATGCTGAGACATCAGCAGGTAACTTAGCAACACTGGCAAGACCCAGGTTTATAGGAGAGTTCAAATGTCCTGCATGTGTGCGGGCTCATAAGCATAATCCCTGAACAATGGACCAGTCTAAACAAGTTAAGCAAGGTGCTGCTAAATTACCAAAATTAATTCCTAGAGGGATTAAGGGTTGTGCAGTCTGCAGATGTTAAGGTGGCAGCCAATTACAGGGCTTCCCAATGGAACTATGCCTAGAAATTTCTGAACTTGCACTTAATCTGTAATCTTCCTAGACTCCAGGAAAAGTAGAGCTTTCAGAACACTCTCTGAGGAGGTCACTCCTCATGGGGGATCAATTATGCTGTGACAGGACCCAATTTAGTACCCCTTCCAAGAGGAAACATCCATTTCAATATGACAAATGAAGTATTTCCTAAAGTGATGAGGCCCTCACAATCTCTCATGGATACAATCTTGAGAAAAAAACCAATAGGATCATAAATTGACCAGTTATGTCATAGCTGTGAGATATGCCAAGAAATCACCATTCACAAAGATAGAATCCCTACACGAGCAATATAAGAAACAAACAGAATACATAATGCAGATTCACAGAGACATACAGGAAATAAAAACCTCCACTGAAAGTTGCAAAAACTGCCTTAATGAAAGTGAAGATAGAATTTCAGACCTTGAAGACAGGATTGCATCTAGTGAACAGGAAAGGAAAGATCTTTTAAAAATAACAAGGAATCAGGAAACAACAATTCAACAACTGCAAGATGATGCAAAGAAAAATAACATAAGAATGATAGGGATTAATGAAAAAGAAGGAGACAACATAAAGGATGTCAAGAGGATATTTAGAGAAGTAATAGCTGAAAATTTCCCAAGCATGAGATCAGAAACCGACATCAGGATCAGTGAAGCATATAGAACTTCAAATAGCCATAACCAAAATAAAACTACACCCAGACATATAATAATCACCATCCCAGAAATCCAACACAAGAATAGATTATTAAAAGCTGTCAGAGAGAAAAGACAGATCACTTATAAAGGAAAACTGATCAGAATCACAGCAGACTTCTCAGCACAAACAATAAAGTCAAGAAGAGCATGGAGTGAAGTATTCCAGATCCTAAAGCAAAATGATTTCCAACCTAGACTGATGTATCCTAAAAAACTATCATTCAAAATTGATGGTGAAATACGATACTTCCATGACAAAGAACAGCTGAAGAACTTCATGAACACCAAACCAACCCTGCAAAAAATATTGAGAGACAGTTTAGATACACAAAGGAAAAAATCACTAAGCAAAGCAGATAATTAAACAGAACAGAAAGATAAAGATGCAACAGCAGAGAGATAACATGTCAACAATAAACCAGCATTTAACAGTAATAACCATTAATGTAAATGGTCTCAATGCAGCAATTAAAAGAAACAGACTAGCAGGACGGATCAAGAAACAAAATCCAACCATATGCTGTTTACAGGAAACCTATCTAACCCAGAAGGATACTCACAGACTGAAAGTCAAAGGATGGACAACAATTCTTCATGCAGCAGGAATCCAAAAAAAGGCAGGAGTAGCCATTCTGTTTGCAGACAATGTGAACTTTAAACCAACAATGATCATAAAGGACAAAGAAGGCCACTACATACTCATAAGGGGAAAACTCCAAGAGGAAGAGATAATTATCTTAAATATATATGTACCAAACTCCAGAGCACCCAGTTATATAAAACAACTATTAACAGAATGAAAACTCAAATCATCAGTAACACAATTGTAACAGGAGACCTTAATACGCCATTGACACCAAGGGACAGATCAACCAGACAGAAAATGAGCAAAGAAATAACAGAACTGAATCACACCTGTAAACAAATGGATTTGATAGACATATACAGAATGTTCCACCCAACAACTTTAGAATACACATTCTTCTCAGCAGTACATGGATCATTCTCTAAAATAGACCATATATTAGCTCACAGAACATATTTAAACAAATGCAAAAGAGTTGAAATCATCCCTTGCATGTTATCGCATCATAGTGCTCTGAAATTAGAATTTAATGATAAAAGATACTGCAAAAATCCCGCAAACACATGGAAACTGAATAACACACTATTGAGTAATCAGTGGGTCACAGAAGAAATTAAAGAAGAAATTAAACAATACCTAAAAAAAATGAAAATGCAGATACAACTTACCGGATTTTGTGGGATGCAATGAAAGCCGTCCTCAGAGGAAAATTTATTGCACTGAGTTCCCACATCAGGAAAACAGGACGAATACAAATAAATAACTTGATGCTACCTCAAACAGCTAGAAAAAGAAGAGTAAGAGGAGCCCAAAGCCAAAAGAAGAGAGGAAATTATAAAAATCAGAGCAGAAATCAATGCAATAGAGACTAAGAAAACAATCCAAAGAATCAACGAATCAAAGAGTTGGTTCTTTGAAAGAATAAATAAAATCGATAAGCCCATAGCCAATCTTATTTAAAAAACGGAAGAAAAACCTCAAATTCATGCAATAAGAAATGAAAAAGGTGAAATCACTACAGACCCAGTAGAAATACAGAAGATCATCAACACCTATTTGAAAACCTCTACTCTCAAAAGTTTGATAACACAGAAGAAATAGACAGATTCTTAGAAGCATACCAAGTACCAAAGCTAGATCAAGAGGATGTAAAACTGTTGAATAACCCAATCTCTGTTATTGAAATTGAAAATGTAATTAAGTCCTTACCTACAAAGAAGAGCCCAGGCCCAGATGTTTTCACTGCAGAATTCTACAAGAAATACAAAGAAGACCTAATGCCGACACTCCTCAAACTATTCAATGAAATTGAAAGGGAAGCAATTCTTCCTAAGTCATTCCTGGAAGCAAATATTACTCTAGTACCAAAACCTGAGAAAGACCCAACTAAAAAAGAGAACTATAGACCGATCTCCCTAATGAACACAGATGCAAAAATCCTCAATAAAATATTGGCAAATAGGATGCAGCAAATCATCAAGAAGATTATACACCATGACCAAGTGGGATTCATCCCAGGAATGCAAGGATGGTTCAATATACATAAATCAATAAATGTAATCCACCATATCAATAAAGCCAAAAGTAAGAATCACATGATCATTTCTATAGATGCAGAAAAAGCCTTCAATAAGGTCCAACATTTATTCATGATAAGAACTTTACAGAAAATTGGAATAGATGGTCTTTACCTCAATATAATAAAGGCCATTTATGACAAACCAACAGCCAGCATCATACTAAATGGCCAAAAATTGAAAGCCTTTACTTTAAAATCGGGCACAAGACAAGGATGTCCTTTATCACCACTCCTATTTAGTATAGTACTGGAAGTACTAGCCAGAGCAATTAGGCAAGAGAGAGGAAAAAAAAAGGGGTAAAGATAGGAAATGAAGAAGTTAAATTATCATTGTTTGCAAATGACATGATACTCTACATGGAAGACCCCCAAACTCCATTGAAAGACTCTTAGATACAAAAAATAAATTCAGTAATGTGGCTGGATACAAAATCAATACTCAGAAATCAATAGCATTCCTATACACGAACAACAAAATCACAGAGAGGGAAATAAGAGAAACTACACTCTTCACATTAGCAAGCAAAAAAAATGAAATATTTAGGAATTACTCTTACGAAAGAAGTGAAAGACTTATACAGTGAAAATTATAATACACTGAAAAAAGAAATTGAAGATGATCTCAGAAAATGGAAAGACATCCCTTGCTCATGGATAGGAAAAACAAACATTGTGAAAATGGCCATTCTCCCAAAACTGTTATACAGATTCAATGCAATCCCAATAAAAATACCACCAACATATCTTATAGATCTAGAGAAATCACTCCTAAATTTCATGTGGAACCAGAAGAGACCTAGAATAGCAAAGGCAATTCTAAGCAGCAAAGACAAAGCAGGAGGCATCACAATCCCTGACTTGAAATTATACTACAAAGCAACAGTAGTAAAATCAACATGGTATTGGAATCAAAACAGAGCCAAAGATCAATGGAATAGATTAGAAGATACAACCACAACTACAAACACACTCAACCGCCTTATCTTTGATAAAGGAGCCAAGTGGGTTCACTGGAAGAATGACAGTCTCTTTAATAGATGGTGCTGGAAAAACTGGCTCTCCATTTGCCGAAAACTAAAGCTAGACCCATGTCTATCATCATGTACTAAATTAAAATCTAAATGGGTCAAAGATCTGAATATTAAAACAGAAACACTAAATCTATTGGAAGACAAATTGGGTAGAAACCTTGAAGACATAGGAGTAGGTAGAGAATTCATGAACAGGACTCAAATCGCACAGGAAAGACTTCCCAGAATCAATAACTGGGACCACTTCTTATTAAAAAGTTTCTGCATGTCAAAAGATATCTCCAGGATAGTGAAAAGAAAACCCACAAACTGGGAAAAGATTTTAGTGAACTCTCTCTCAGACAAGGGACTCTTGTCTAAAACATATAAAGAATTAAAAAAACTCAGACCCCCAAAATTCAAAGATCCAAATCAAAAATGGGCATCTGAGATGAATACGCACTTCTCAGATGAAGAAATGCAAATGGCAAATAAATACATGCAAAAATGTTCATCATCATTGGTCATTAGAGAAATGCAAATTAAAACCCCACTGAGATACCATCTCACTCCTGAAAGAATGGCTAGGATCAAGAAAACCAACAACAACAAATGCTGGAGAGGCTGTGGGGAAAAAGGAACTCTCCTACACTGTTGGTGAGAGTGTACACTGGTACAGCCTTTGTGGAGGTCAGTCTGGAGATTTCTCAAAAAGCTGGGATTGGAAGTCC